TTTATCATATATAATTTGATAGCATTATTGGATGGTCGTGGATAATAGGAGGTAGGATCTAGTAGGAAGTAAGTCCTTGGATATGTACTTTACAGGGGTTTATCTTTTTTTGAGACAGGGTTTCTCTGTGTAACGGCACTGGCTATTGTGGAACTTACTTTGTAGATCAGAGCTGGGTGGTGGTGGCACACGCCTTTAATCCCAGCACTCGGGAGGCAGAGGCAGGCGGATCTCTGTGAGTTCGAGGCCAGGCTGGACCGACAGCCTCCAAAACAATACAGAGAAACCTTGTCTCGTAAAACCAAAAAAAAAAAAAACTTTGTAGATCAGGCTGGCCTCGAACTCACAGAGATCTGCCTTCCTCTGCCTCCCTCTCAATCAAGTGTTTGTCTTATTCCTGCCTCCTTCTTGTTCTCTTGCTTCCTGGCTACTCTGATGTGAGCTGCTTGAACCTAGAAGCAGTGGGGCCAACTGACCCTGTATTGAAACCTGAACCATGAGCCAAGATGAATCTTTCTTGTAAGCTGTGTATGTTGAATATTTTGTCATGAAAGTCTAATGAAAAGTCTAGTGTCAATTAAAGTCTAATACAAATATGATAAGAGATATAACTATTTTTGTCTGAAAGAAGAGCTAGTTGTCTTAACATCAGTATTTCCCTCTAAATAATTATTTCAGTCAGTATGTTTTTCTACACTATTTAAGACTAAATGAGTAGATCATGGTGTGCTGCTAGTTTTATGTCAGCTTGGCACAAGCCAGAGTCATTTTGGAAGAGGGAACCTTATTTGAGACAATGCACTTCCTAGATTGGTTTGTGGGCAAGCCTGTGGTGCATTTTCTTGATTCATGGTTAGTTTGGGCTAGCTCAACCCATTATAGCTGGTGTCACACCAGGGATGGTGGTCCTTTGTTCTCTAAGAAAGCTGGCTGAGCATGTCATGGAGAGCAAGTGAGTAGGCAGCACTCTCCCATGGCTGCCATGTCAGCTCCTGACTCCAGGTTCCTGCCCTGACTTCCCTGGATGATGGATTACAAGTTATATGATAAAAGCCCTTTCCTCTCCCTGTTGCTTATGATCATGACAGATTGCTAAAATCATTATTTAGTTCAATGGTGCTCAACACTGGCTGTATATCAACAGTCATATTTGGAATTTTAAGATGTATTCTAATAATTTTAATTCTGTCTATGTGTATATGCCCATGAGGTCAGGTACCTGCAGAGGTCAGAGGTGTCAGAGCACCCCACCAGATGGAGTTACAGGTGTTTGTGAACTACCTGGCATGTTTGTTGGGAATCAAACTCATGTCCTCTGGAAGAGCAATATGTGCTCCTAACTACTGATTCATCACTCCCGTGCCCCCAGGTTTTTTTTTTTTTGTGCTAGGGAAGAAACTCAGAATCTCCAGCATGATAAGTACACATTGTAATACTGATAGAACCTTCACTCACCACACGGAGATCTTAAAAATATTCAGACATAGAGTATGTAATAATTTCCTCTGAGTCCCCCCCCCACGGAAGGACAACCAAGCAACCAGGAGCCTGCAGAGAGCTGCTCCACTTCCACCCAAACCCAGGGCAGAGGGCAGAGAGCAGAGGCCAGAGAGTATTGGATTTGCTTGCACCCACCGAAAGGGAACCCTGGTCACCTACCCACCAGGACAGGAAGAGACTCTTTCTACACCCACTGGAAGAAGTGATGGGGAAGAGGCTATATAAGAACACACTCAGCAACAGAAAAACTAATATGACACCACCAGAGTCTAGAGATTCTACACCAGGAAGACCTGAACACCCCAATGCAGATGAAGCAGAGGGGAATGACCTTAAAAACACCTTCATGAAAATGATAGAGGCCTTCAAAGAGGATGTGAGAAAATCCCTTAAAGAACTGGAAGAAAAAACAAACCAAAAAATGCAAGAAATAGAAGAAAAACAAATCAAAAATTCCAAAAAATGGAAGGGAAGAAAACACAAAGCAAAAATTACAAGAAACAATTCAGACAATGCAAGGATTGAAAGCTGACATGCAGACAATAAAAAAAATCACAGTCTGAAGGAATTCTGGAAATCAAAAAACTGGGGAAACAGACAGGTACTACAGACGCAAGCATAACCAACAGAATACAAGTGATGAAAGATATTATCAGGTGTTGAAGACACACTAGGAGAAATAGATTCATCAATCAAAGAAAATCTGAAGTCCAACAAAACCCTAACATAAAATATCCAGGAAATATGGGACACCGTGAAAAGACCATACCTAGGAATAATAGGTATAGAAGAAGGTGAATAAACCGAACTCAAAGGGACAGAAAACATATTCAACAAAATCATAAAAGAAAACTTTCCCAACCTAATGAAAGACATGCCAAGAAGCTTACAGAACACCAAATAGAGTGGATCACAAAAAAGTCCCCTTGCCACATACTAATCAAGACCCCAAGCGTACAAAATAAAGAATACTTAGAGCAGCTAAGGAAAAAGGTCAAATAACATATAAAGGCAAACCTTTAAGAATTACACCTGACTTCTCCATGGAAACTCTGAAAGCCAGAAGGTCCTGGATAGATACTCTACCAACACTAAGAGACCACGGATGCCAGCCCAGACTACTATACCTAGCAAAGCTTTCAATCACTATAGATGGAAAAAACAAGATATTCCATGACAAAACCAGATTTAAACAACACGTATCCACTAACCCAACCCTACAGAAAGTTCTGGAAGGAAGACTCCAGTCCAAAGACGTTAACTACAACCAGAAAAACATAGGAAATAGATAATCCCAGTTTACCAATACCCAAAAGAGAAAAGGGGTGGAAATACACATACAATTCCACCAAGAACAACCATTCCAAAACAAAGAGAATCAGCAATCAAAGGTCATTAATATCCCTCAATATTAACGGTCTTAACTCACCCACAAAAAGGCACAAGCTGACAGAACGGATTCGAAGACAGAACCCATCCTTCTGCTGCATACAAGAAACACCTCAGCCTCAAAGGCAGACATTACCTCAGAGTTAAGGGTTGGGAAAAGATTTTCCAATCAAATGGCCTCAAGAAACAAGCAGGGGTAGTAATCCTAATATCTAACAAACTAGACTTTAAACTGAAATCAATCAAAAGAGATGAAGGAGGTCATTACATATTCATCACAGGAAAAATCCACCAAGATGAAGTCTCGATTCTAAACATCTATGCCCCAAATATAAAGGCATCCACGTTCATAAAAGAAATATTACTAAAACTCAAACCACACATAAAACCTCACACACTAATAGTGGGAGACTTCAACACCCCACTGTCACCACTAGACAGGACTACAAGACAGAAACTTAACAATGAAACAAAGGAACTAATAGAGGTTATGACCCAATAGGGTTTGACAGACATCTATAGAACATTCCATCCAAACACAAAAGAATATACCTTCTTCTCAGTGACACATGGTACCTTCTCAAAAATTGACCACATACTTGGCAACATAGCAAACCTCAACAGGTACAAAACAGTTAGAATAACTCCATGTATCTTATCAGGCCACCATGCTTTAAAGTTAGAGTTCAGCAACAACACAAACTGCAGGAACCCTACGCACTCACGGAAATTGAATAATGTGCTATTGCACCATGCCTGGGTCAAAGAAGAAATACAAAAGAAATTAAAGACTTCCTAGAATTCAATGAGAATGAAGACACAACATATCCAAACTTATGGGACACTTTGAAAGTAGTGCCAAGAGGAAAGTTCATAGCATGAAGTGCCCACATGAAGAAACTGGAGAACAGTTACACTAGAGAACTAACAGCACAGCTGAAAGCTCTAGAACACAAAGAAGCAAACTCATCCAGGAGGAGTAGATGCCAGGAAATAATCAAATTGAGAGCTGAAATCAATAAAGCAGGATCTAGGAAATCAATACAAAGAATCAATGTAACAATGGGGGTAGTGGGGCTGGTGGAGAGAGAAGGCGGGAGCCGGGATTGACATTTGAAGCATGCATTTTCTAATTTAAATAAAACATATATAAAAATTTCCTCTGAGTACTTTAACAAAATAATATAAGCTAGGTGGTGTAATACAACTGAAATTTATTGTCTCACAATTCTTCAGGCAAGAAGTATAGAATCAAAATGTTGGCAGGGCCGAGTTCTTGTCTCTTCTTGTGGTGGTTGCAATTCTTCACTTTTTTTTTTCAAAACAGGGTTTCTCCGTAGCTTTAGGTGCCTGTCCTGGAACTCACTCTGTAGACCAGGTATGGTCTTGAACTCATAGAGATCCACAGACTTATATTAATTTTAAAAATGTTGACTGATGGCTAGGGCTTCTTATTGGCTAGCTGTCTTAATTATTAACCCATAACTACTAATCTATGTATTTCTCCATGGCCTTATCTTACCAGAGAGCACCTGGCATGTCCTAACTTCCCTGTCTCTACATGGCATCTCTTTGCACACCCTCTCTGCCCACCTTTCCCAGAATTCTCCTCCTCTTCTAGTCCTGCCTATCTTCCTGCCTCTACTGGCTATTGGCCAAACAGTGTTTTATTCATCAACCAATAAGAGAAACATATATATAGAAGGACATACCCCATCAGCTCATCTTTTCTGTCTAAGTAAAATGAAGGGTTTTAACGGTAACATAATAAAATTATATATAACAAAACAGTTATCAAGCAAGAACTATAGTTAACAATAGTCCATTATCATTTGGCACAATTTAAAGACAATATTCTATCTTCTATCTTTTTGAGTCTAAAGTTTTATATGTAACTTATCTTTTATCATAACTAAGGAAAACTATAACCATAACTATGTTAAACTCCATCAAAGACCTCAGAATTGACAGAGACATCTCGCTGCCTATACAGTCACCCAACGTTCTTCTGTAATGTTGGGGCATCAGTCTTCAGCCCATAGGCCATAGTGTGTCTGGCAGACTTCTCAGTGAAACAGGAAATTTTAAACCATCTGCCTGCATTGGCAGTTTGTCAGTCATTTATCTTTGTGTCCTGCAGAATGGGTCTGACAGACTTTTCCATTAAGCAGGAACCCTGAAGGACTTTTGCAGAATCATGTTTGTAGACTCTTCCTTTGCAAGCACGTCTTAACTAAGAGAGTAGGTGTGCTTGATGAGCAGAAATTAATGACACATCTCCAGATTTTATGATAGAGAAGAGCTAGTTTTTACAATGCAGCTTTACTAGATTACAGAACATTCTCTTTAGCCATGCTTTGCTTGGTTTATCTCTGAGACATTTGGATAACACTTTTCTGTGAATTAACTAGACTGTAGGGAATAAGTGTGTTTAGATACATTACTGCAGTCATCTTTAGTAGAACTTGGCACTTTTCTTCCATTAACTGAATCCTTCCATGTGCTTTTAAAGGGCTACCAATATTCACCTTCTGTGCTCCCGTGAGGTTTTGGATGCTCTGAATTAGTCGGCTTTACGAAGTCCTATCTTTGGAATTTTTCCTCTGTTGACCCAGCAGCCTGTCTGGTGCCGAAGATGTGCGCAACTGGTACTGATCTGGGGTTCCTTTCCGTCGGTTGACCGTCTTCTGTTCTTTGTCCAACTCTTTCTGAAGCTGTAATGCAAACAATCGGTCCTGCTCTTCTTGCTTATGTCTCTCAAAAAGCCTGTGTTCCAAATCTATCAGTTTTTGTTTAAAACTCACTTCTTTTTCTTCTGGATCTGACAATTTGAGGAACACTTTGCTTCTTTTTGCAGAAGAGCATGGATCCATGACTGCTTCAAACACAGAATCCTGGTTTTCTCTTTCATAAATCTCTTTTCCAACTACTCTACTTTCTGGAGCTCTGTTACCGCCAGCTAGCTGGGTCACACCTGACACAGAGCCCTCTTCATTTTCTATTTTACCAGAAGGCTTAACTGTAGCTTCATCATCACGGTTGGTTGGTAGTGTTTCAACTGTTCCTTGAAGGGACTGTTCTGCACGCATGGCACATGACCACAGCACAGGTGACTCTGCCAAAGACTCTGAAGCTTGTTCTTGAGTTTCTAGGCATATCTTTGGAGAAAGTGCTGGCATATCTTTTTCAGTGTGGGTGTCTTGCCCCACGGGGCTCTCCTTAGACATGCAGCTTTTATCCTCTTCACCTGGCCATGCTGACCCAGACTTCAGTTTAGGTGACAAATATTTTTGAGTATGTCCAACGTCTTTTTGTGTGTTTGTATTTTCATTTTGTGACTTGTTTGTGACTGCATCTGATTTTCTGGAACTCGAAGGAGAAGCCAAGGGACTTTTCTCGTAGTTATCGTTACTACTGATGCTGAGCCTCAGTGACAGATCCTCGTCGTCTTTCAGCTGTTCTTCCATCTCGCTTCTCCTCGTTTCCATCCATAGTTTTTCCTCCTCCTCCTCCTCCTCCTCCGCCAAGAGTTTCTGTATATATTCCTCACTGGCTTTGTTTTCTTCTTCCTTGCTGGCCTGTCGTTCAGCCTCCATCTTTCTTATCTCCTCTTCATATTCTCGTCTCAACTCCCCAGGTTGGCTTAACACAGGACCTGGCTGGCAGTCACCAACGACTTCTCTTGCCAACTCCCCAGGTTGACTTAACAGACGACCTGGCTGGCAGTCACCAATGACTTCCCTTGCAGACTCGAAGCTGGCACTCCTTCGCATAGTGTTTCTGAATAATCTCCCACAGGTCTATATTGAGAAGAGAATTTCTTCGGGTATGGTACTGAGTCCACGAGGAAAACCGGCGGCGACAGAAGGGACAGCACAGTTTGGCTTTTTCGACAATCTATTGGAAGCACTGGTAACAGATCGTGTGGTTGCAGGGAAGGGTCACCGGCTCCAGCAGGATTTCCATACAGACGAAGCACTGACATTCGGCCAAGGACGGGACGGCCTCTTTGGATGCAGCCATCTTCAGACGCCAACGAGGCCTTCCTTCTCAGTGTCAACACCTGAAAGAAACCAGAGTCGTCGTGAGGTCACCACGGTACAGAGTCGTTGTGGGTCTCACCATAGTACGGAGTTGTCCTGGGGCTTATCGTCCTGGGGCTCACCAGAGTACGGAGTCGTCGTCATGGAGTCTTCGTCGTCGGAGTCGTCGTGAGGTCACCACGGTACGGAGGATATCGGAGAGCAGCGGTTGGCTGTTGATTCTGACACACAAGCAGCTTCCTGGGATCCAGACAGGCTAAAGGCGCCCGGGCCCCAGGCAGAGCGGACAACAGTCAGGCCCTGTGTCTGCCCACAGGCGACTGAATGGAGAATGTTCCTTCGGGAGCGCGGCCCTAGCCTGAACCTGTTTCTGGACATAAGGGTACTTCCGGCTTCCCGAGGACAGTGAGCTCTGGCTCCTGGTGAGGCCGGGGACCTGCCGGAACTGGAAGTCTGGAAATCACAGCTCTGAGATCGCCTGTACCTCCCGGAAGCCGGCTCGGGGCCCTCTGGCCACTGCGCATGTGCGCGGGGGGGGGGGGTAGGAGGGGTGTTGGGGGGGGTAGGAGGGGTGTTGGGGGGGGCTCCCGTCCCTGCCGAGTCCCAGGCTTTTAATTTTCACAAACTTCACTGGGACTCTGTGGTAGAATGTTTACTTAGCACACACAAGGCCTGGGTTCCACCCTAGCTCCGGGAAATTCTAAAACTTCATTAATTGAAAATTTTACTGTCCCAATATACACTTAGAAAAGTAAACACGGGAGCATGGCTATAAGATTTCTGATACCAATATGTACTTGGAAAAGTAAACATGGGAGCATGACTATAAGATTGCTGAAAATGAAGCTGGGTGGTTGTGGCGCCCGCCTTTAATCCCAGCACTCGGGAGGCAGAGGCAGGCGGATCTCTGTGAGTTTGAGGCCAGCCTGGTCTACAGAGCAAGTTCCAGGACAGCCTCCAAAACAATACAGAGAAACCCTGTGTCAAGAAACAAAAACAAACAGACAAACAAACAAAAAACGATTTCTGAAAACGAGTCTTAGAAAACTCATTCTACTGGTTGGCAGATGTTTAGTAGATAAAGGCCCTCGATACCCAATCTGATGACCTGAGTTCCTATGACAAGTTGTTCTGTGACTTTCACATGTGCCCTGGTGCATGCTCAAACATGTGCCCTCTGCTAAAGAAGTGAGAATAAAACTAGTTCTGTCATAAATTTAAACTGCTACAGTTGGAGCTGCAGAGATGGATCAGAGGTTAAGAGCCCTGGCTGATATTCCAGAGGACCTGAGTTCAATTCCCAGCACACGTACGATGCCTCACAACCATCTGTAATGAGATCTGGTGCCCTCTTCTGGCCTGCAGGCATACTTGCACACAGAACACTGTATAATAAATAAATAAATCTTAAAAAATACTACAGTTAAAATTATTAAAGTAATTTAGTACAATTTAGTACAAGAAAATAATTTGATCATTGGAATAAATAGGTTCCATAAGGAACCCAAATATAAGGAAACCAAAATACATAATACAAAACTTATTTTACGATGAAGTTAGCAACTTGAAGTCAGTAAGGAAAGGAGGGCTTATTCCACCAATAGCACTTAGACAACTATTTGGTAGTAAGAAGATGGTATCTTTAGCTCATTCCTTACATCAAAGTATGATTCTAGGTGGGTCAGAATTGGAGATAGGGAAAAACCCAAAATACAATAGTTCTTGAAGAAAATAGGAAGAGGCATCTATCTGCTGTAGGAATGGAAAAGGCCCTTTTATAGCAAAATCCCAAACTCAGATTTCTTTTTTGTTGTTTGTTTTGTTTTTGAGACAGGGTTTCTCTGTATTGCTTTAGAGCCTGTCCTGGAATTTGCTCTATAGACCAAGCTGGCCTGGAACTCACAGAGTTTGCCACCATTGCCCAGACAAACTCAAATTTCATAAAGGAAATTATTGGTGAATTTGACTTTACAAAAGTTAAAAACTCTGTGAGGCAAAAATATCATAAAGCAGATTCAAAAGAACAATAAAGTTGGGAACTCACATTGGCTGCATATATGACACAAGGGTTTTAATTTTTAAAGAAAACTTGGTGTGAGAAATACAAAACACCTGGGACTTGAGAGATGGTTAAAAACACAGGCTGCTCTTCCAGAGGAGCTGGATTCAATTCCAAGCAAAGCACCCACACGGCAGCTCACAGTCACTTATCTGTAACTCCAGTTCCAGGGGCTCTGATGATCTCTTCCCACCTCTGTGGGCACCAGTCATTCAAGTGGTACACAGAGGGGCATGCAGACAAAACAGCCACACATACCAACCAAATTTTTTAAAATTTCAAAACACAATAGTAAATGACTGAAAGAATAAGCAAATAGTTTAGATAAAAATAAACACACATCACCAGAGACTTGATATTCAAGCCTTTTCATAGTCAAAGAAATATAAATTGCTGGGTGATGGTGGTTCACGCCTTTAATCCCAGCACTCAGGAGGCAGAGGCAGGCAGTTCTCTGTGAGTTTGATATCAGCCTGGTCTAGAGTGAGTGCCAGGACATCCAGGACTGTTACACAGAGAAACCCTGTCTCAACTCCCCACCAAAAGGAAATAAAACAAACATAAAACAATAAAATATGTTTCATATTAGATTGGGAAACGTTTTCTAATCTGCAACTAGGGATGTTATAAGGAAACCTACTTTCATGTACGGCTGATGGAGGACCATGAGTATAATGTTTTGAGGGTACAGGTGGCAATGTGTATTAAAATAGAATGTGTACATGTCCTCAACTGGATATTGTCGTTTCAGTATTACTTCCTCAGCATTCATTCCCTACTTTTTCTTCCTAGTAATTTCTTTATAGTGCTAAAATGATGAAATAGTTTGCATTTGCTCTGCTATGGCTTATTTGTGACTCTGAAAACTTCTTGCTTTGGAACTTTCATTCCTCATTGGGGCAGTGTTGAGAGGTAAGGCCTTAGTAGTGGCACTCACATTTAATCTCACCCCTCAGGAGGTAGAGGCAGCCAGATCTCTGAGTTTGAGGCCAACCTGGTCTACACAGTGAGTTCCAGGACAGCCAGGACTGTTACATAGAGGAACCCTGTCTCAAAAAAGAAAACCAGTGACTGAGAGAGAGAGAGAGAGAGAGAGAGAGAGAGAGAGAGAGAGAGAGAGAGAGGGGTAGGGCCTTGATAGAGACATTTGGGTAGTGGGGGTGGAGCCCCCATGAATAAATTAATCCTTTGTCACAGAATTTGGTTAATTCTCTGGGTAGTATTTGGGAGTTCTAGCAGGAGAGTGTAGCTGCTTGTATACCCTTGCCCAGTCCTCCTCTATTTCAGGAAAGGCATTGACCAAGCATGCAGCTTCAGGAATGATGCACATGGCGTAGTGAGGGAGGAAGGGGATACCTGCCTAGCCAGCTAGATCAGCGGAATCAACCTGGTGATCACTGGGGTGACAGATGTCACAAGCAGATTACCCTTACATCCTATGTGAGCTTTCTGGAAGAACCTGATTAATTAATGTAAAAGTGGGTTCTTACTAAATGGGACCACCTCTCGTGTTTTGCCATTCTGCTTTCTGCCACAACTTGAACCAGGGCAATGCCCTTGCTGGTTCCATGCCATGGACTACTCAGTTTCCAGAGCAGTAAGCCAAAATAAACTATTCCTTTTAGTGTTGAAGACAGAACCCAGGCTTCCATCACACAGCTACATCTCAACCCCTAAACCTCTTACTGGTTATAAATCATCGAGCCTCAGATATTGTGTTTTGGCAATAGAACTAAACATTTTGCTAGAGAAATGCATCTAAGCTTTATTAAGTATTAAGATATAATGATGAAGATGGGCATGGAGTGCATGACTGTAGTCCTATATAGCCTATGGTTTAGAAGACTGAGGCACAGAAAGAGTTGAAGGCCTACTTGGGATACATACCAAATTCCAGGCCACTTGAAGATATATTGTGAGACCCTGAATCAAGAAGTCAAGGGCTAAGTGGATACCAGACTTAAAGCAAAAGAGACCCTGCCTACAATCCACAATCCCAGAGAAACTTGAACCCTCTTCCAGAAACAGATGGAAGCAGATGCAGAAATCCACAACTACCCTGTGGACCAAGCTCCTGGAGTTCAATTGAAGTAAAGAAGGAGTGATAACATGAACAAAGGAGTCAAGACCATGATGGGGAAATTCACAAAATCAACTCACCGGAGCTAGTGAGAGATCATCGACACAGTTCTGACAAATAGGGAACCTGTATAAGACCAAACTAGACTCCCTTAATACGGGCGGCAATGATGTGACTGGGGCAATATAGGAGGCCACTGGCAATGGGTTCAAGACCTAAATCTAATGCACAAACTGACTTAAGTGGATACCACTGTATATGGAGAGATACCTTGCTCAGCCTAAACACAGGGGTCTGGGGGCATGGAAAGGTGCCTCAATGATATTATGGGACAGACTTAGTAGACTTCCTAGGGGAGGCCTTACCCTCTCTGAGGAGCAGATGGTTGGTAGGACAGGGAGAAGTAGGGGGAGCAGGAGAGAGGAGGGAGAGGAAACTGGGATTGGATGTAAAAAATAAATTAATATATATATGTCAAGGGCTATGGATATAAGTCAGTGGTATAATATTTCCTTAGCATGTAGAAAACCTTGGTTCCATTCACAGTACTGAAAATAAAACATGATGTTTAAAATTTATTTTTAAACAAATAAATGTATGCAGACATGTTCTTAATTATTTCCTAGAATGAAACAATTAAGAATAGATCTACGAGAGAATCAAGGAGTTTGATGTGAGATTATGCCTTCTAGTAATGTCAGAAGCTACACCCATAAAATATCACAAACATGACTTTTTAAAAATGAACTAAACAAGTACAACAACAATAGACAAGCTAAAGTGGACACAGGAAGGCTCACAAGGCCTCAACCCTATACAAAGAAATACAAGCAACTAAAGAAGGCTGAGAGTTCAGGAAACAGTTTTCCTCAGGGACCAATAGGTATTCTC